CTGAAACATTATTTGAGAGAATTCGTACTGTTGAAAGTATTAATCGAACTCTATCAAAGGGGTATGACAGATTGAATGATAGAATGTCTCTCAGGAAGGTAATAAGCATGCTATAAAAATTATGTCCAAGGATGAGACATTATCTCTTCTGGACAGACTTCATACCTTGAAATCCTCAATTAGGGCATTAAAGTAGAACACTGGACAGGAGATCCAGACATTACAAAAGGCAGTTGTAAAAAGATTTGAAAAGATTGAGGAAATTATCACATTTGATGACCAAGAACAAAAGGTACAAAGGCAAAATTTAACCTCGTCGGTATGTAAAAATCTCTGGGATAGCTTCCACAGAGTTCTGCCCGCCTTTCGAGTAAAATATCAGAAAAAGTATCTGGCCCCAAGTACCCTAAGGTTGTCAAAGAATATGAGAGCACATACGTATGACTTATCTAAAGGAAATTAAACAAGCAATGGTAGCTTATGGACTACATTCGTCTTTTGTTAGGGAAATAATCAAAACATGGGCTTTCAGTAACAAAGCAACACCTTAGGAGGAAAATGGTTCAGAAAAAAGGATTTTGGCATTGACTAAAATGCCAATCTTGTAAGTAAATAAGAATAAACAGACTGACTTAGTGTTTCTATTGCTGTGATAAACACTGTGACCAAAATCAAGTTGAAGAGGACAGGGTTTATTTGGTTTATACTTCCATCACTGAACAAGATTATGGCAGGAGCTCAAACAGTAGAAACCTGAAGGCAGGAGCTGATGCAAAGGCCATGGAAGGGTGCCACTTACCAGCTTTGCTTCCTATGGCTTGTTCAGTCTACTTCCTTTTCTTTTCTTTTCTCTTCTTTTCTTTTCCTTTTTTTTTGTATTTTGAGACAGGGTTTCTCTGTAGCTTTGGTACCTGTCCGGGAACTAGCTCTTGTAGACCAGGTTGGTCTCGAACTCACAGAGATCCACCTGCCTCTGCCTCCTGAGTGTTGGGATTAAAGGCATGTACCACCACCACCCTGCTTCAATCTGCTTTCTTTTTTTAAGATTTATTTATTTATTATGTACACAGTATTCTTAGTATTCTGTCTGCATGTATGCCTGCAGGCCAGAAGAGGACATCAGATCAGATCTCTTTACAGATGGTTGTGAACCACCATGTGGCTGCTGGGAATTGAACTCAGGACCTTTGGAAGAGCAGGCAATGCTCTTAGCCACTGAGCCATCTCTCCAGCCCCTTCAATCAACTTTCTTATAGACCCCAGGACTACTAGTCCAGAAATGGTCCCACTCACCATTGGCTGGGCCTCCCCTATCATTCACTGATTAAAAAATAGCCCTACAGGCTTGCCTACAGCCCATCTTTATTGATCAGTCTTATTCGATCATATTCCTCCACAACTACCTGATGGATGCTTCTTGAATGTTTTAAGGGCTTATCTGATTGAATAAAGTACCCAGTAAAATCTGTTTTTCTTGTCATAAAAGACAACATAGAATATCATAAAACACCATCTAATCATATGTGTAGATTCTTCTCACATGGAGTAAAGATTATACACTATATAGAATGTATACAACAGGGAGAAATGGAGACATTTTCTCAATTGAGAACCCCTCCTCAGACTACTTTAGTCTTTGTTAAATTGACCTAAACCTATCCAGTACCCAGACAGATCCAGTGAGAAGTCGAGAAATGAGATACATTTGGTATCTCTAATGGTTTTGTCCAAGTAGAAAATGATAAAACTCAAGGATTGCGTTAGGAGAGATTAGAGAAAAATATAGCCTATTAGAGAAAAATATTAAATAAAGCCTATTTAAGTGTTTAATGTAGCAGAAATTTTTGTTATTTGTAGAAATGTAAGTATAGGAGACTCTGAAAGTGCCTCCTGTCTTTATGCATTGTTATTTACTGGGGTGAAGGAGTGTCTATAGAACTGACACAGGTTTGAACAGGTTTGGAGGCAGTTGTGGAGGAAGATGATTGTTTCAGCTTGATAAACTGCATTCCAGATTAATGTAATGATTAACACAAATGCTTTGCAGTTTTTTCAAATACTTTACATGTAGTAGTAAGGCAAATAGTTAAAAAGTCTTATGAAGAATGTGTATATAAAATACATGAATCAGAAGTACAAGTTGCCCCCCAGAGAAATTAGATAACAAGAGGACCTTAAGAGAGACATACATGTATCTACATAGGAAGGTGAAAAAGACAAGATTTCCTGAGTGAGTCAGAAGTGTGAGGGTCACGGGAAAGAATAGAAGGGCAGAGGGGAGGAAGGGAGGAGAGTGGAGAAAAATGTATAGCTCAATAATAACAATTAAAAAACTAAAAAAATGAAAAAAGAAGTATAAGTTGTGTGTAGATTTGTGAAAATTTGTTTCTGTAACCAATGCAATTAACTTCCATATTAACATTGAAGACAGCAGCAACCAAACTCACAAACCCTAGCATTAAACTGGCCACATTGTCCTGAGTTTGAGAGGACTTTATGTACTGAAGATTTAGAATACAGAATCATTGGCATATAGATAACAGTTATAATGAATAAATAGAAAGCACCATAATTTATGGAAAATCTGTGGAGATTAGTAAACCAGGGGTTGTATATATGTGAAGTCAATTCTCATTACCTTGTGAGATGATCTTATCAACTGCCAAATATAGAAATGTAGTGTTTTCATACTTGATAAATAGCAAAAAAATAAGTGGGAACATGTAACAGCATTCTCCAGAGATAAGCAAGACTTGAGACAGTCAGTGGTGAGAAATTTGGAGTGACTTAGGTTTACAAATTTCAAAAATCCATTAAAATGATAGAATCGCTATTCCTGCATCTTTTCAGAGCAGAAGGGTACTTAGAAAATATCAAGCATTTTTTTTCCTGTTTTTCACCTTCATTTTGGCCATGTCTATGCAATAATTTCTTACTGCCAGTAAGTCTCCCAGACTTCCAAACATTTTTGCATCACCTTTAACCATCCTGTAGTCATTTTTTATTTTTAATCATCTACCCTCTAGTTAAATGTCTTTTTGTAAATGTCACATTCATAAAGTCATGCCAAGAGTCATTGATCTACATTGCTAACGGACAAAAACAATCTAGACATTTGAAAAGGCTCATTCCCAGGAAGTCATGGGCCATGAACAAGGACGATTGGATGACTTTTTAAATTATTATTTGATGTTAACTTGTGGTACTGGGATAGAATTCACGGTCTTGTGCATGTTAGGTAAAGAAATCCAATATCAAGCTATATTCCCAACCTTCAAGTTTTGACAGTTCCAATAAAATGGAGAAAAAGGTCTTTGAGAGACACAGGGAGTACTGCAACAAAGAGATTTGACTTACACCAATGTTGCAACACAGGTAAGTTTGTACTGCAATCTTTTAATTTAAGTAGTTCTGGGTGTTCTAAAAGAAATGGAAAATGGTAGAAGTTCAAAGCCATCAATTAAGCTTAGTTTGTTCTGAAAATTTTAATTAGTCAATTGAATACTGGGGCAATGTTGACTGATTTTTTTCTTCACTCACAGGAGGTAGAATGACAGCAAGCAGCATTGCAAATGGCAAAAACTAGAAAGATAAAAAGTAAAACTCCCAGTTATAATAGTGTGGCTGGAACCATCACAGAGTTGACCATGTTGAAACTTTCAATGTTGGTCATTAATTAAGAGTTATTGGAGCTAGAACAAATCATTTCTCTCTTTTACAAAGTTCCTGGGAAGTGCTTTGCTAGATCTGGTTTTAGTCCAAGAATTTCACCTTTACTAGCCCAATAAGAACATTTCCTCAAGACCCTCACAATCATGTCCTTCACTACAGAAACAAGAAATTAGAACTCTAAGAGGCTCAATAGACATGTTATTTCTCAACTATGGGCTTTTTGTTCTTCTAATCTGTTGGGGAAACGCTATCTGTCCATCTCAGTTAGCATGCCAGTCTTGTTATCAGAATTGGCCAGATAGATTTTCCACCATCTAAGAATAACCATGTTCCGCCACCTATGGAATCTGTTCCTGTTCATGTCTGGGTGGGGTTTTTAATCTGAATTTACCCATTCTGATTTGTAAATCTAGCTTTAAAACTATTTAAAAAGTTTTAAACTATGCTCATGCTTGTGTAGGCCAGGTACTCTATGTCGGGAAGTCAAGGACTTGTAAAGCATTTGATGTTTGGTGGAGGATATAGGTACAGGATTTGATTCACATGAGCATTTAAGGATAAAGATGGATGTAGGTAAATGGCAGTGTGGAACACGATGGGAACAGCATTTTTTTTAAAATTTTTTGTCTAATTTCAGCAAAAAATGACAACTCCCAATGGGCTCAGGTTCTGCCAATTTTACAGACAAATGAAATCTTCAGTGGGAAATTACCATACTAATTACCTAGTACACTTTTCACTTTGAGGATAAAAAAATCTAGAATCTAGAGGCAAATTGTGATTAATTAGTTTCACACTTACCAGTGTCTAAATCAGGTGTCTGACCCAGGACTTGAGACCATCCAGAGATCTTTCCCCTGGCTCACGCCGTCCTTTCGTCACTGATTTCAGACTGACAAAGAACTGACCCACTTTGGTCCTCCTGCGCTCTCTCTATGTCTCTCATATTCCCAGTTCAGCTTTGGAGTACTCGATAATGACTTCCTTTATGGTTCTGAAGTTTGAGCAAAGAACAAAGACTCGAAGCCCAAATGTTTAAGGTAGGACCTCGCTGAATTGTAAGACAAAGAAATGCAGAGGAGCAATGGAGAATGAAGATGAGGTACAAACAGAAGGGGAGGTTGGAGGAGAATCTGAGAAGGATGAAGAAGGAGGGAGACAGAGAAGGGAAGCAGAGACCAGGAACAAGAAAACTTTCTTCATACTGTAGAAAAAAAAAAGAAGCCTTGGGCCACAGTCTTCTCTTAGGATGTATATTCTAGTCTTCTCTGGGACAAGGAGAAATTAACCTCATTGTGGGGTAAGATCTGAGGGAAGGGGATTCTTACCAGCTTGAATCTAGGGTCTTCTTCCAGTTCAGTCAGACCAAGGAGAGATGGTTCATCTTGCAGGTGGAAATTTTTCTGCTTTTCTGGATTCAGCTGTAAACAGATAAGACAGTTTGCTTAAAAGATGAGACTAAATAATGAGAGCTGTAGTAATAGCAACCCCACAAGCTCTGTCAGTCCACACCTACTTACCTGTTGCTGACAAGAAGGTGGGATCAAATGAAAGCCAGAGGCATTTGATTCTTTCTGGCTTGAAACTTTGTCAATTGCATTTCATTGACTATTGAGTTGTATTTAATATTAAGATTTAAAAACTTCATTTTGAGTAAAGCTAATGGGTAAGAACATGGATTGAATTTGTACTGATCCATGTTTAAATCTAGTGTAATTGCTAATTGTATTGGATGGATGACTTGACCGATGAGAATCTCTGTTCTTGTTTTTGAAATGAGTTTCACAACTTATTTATCTCTTAGAATTGTTTTGAGAGTTAAATAAAGGAATCATGAAAGTGGCTGTGATAATTATTGTCCTTTATTGAGTATTCAGCAAGAGGTAGCTGTTGTTTTTTCTTACAGTGTGTCTTAGTTACTTTTCTCATTGTGATTGAGTACAAGAGAAGGAGAAATTTGAGGAGAGGCTCATCCTACCGTCACCATTCCCATTCTACTGATCATCTACACATTCTCTTTTTTTCAATGATACTTCTTTCAGTTCTTTGGTTTGCTTTATGAATTCATATTTTAGACTTCCTTTTTTTTCCTTTTCTGAATTGTTCTTCTCCCCTTTTCATATGGCATAGAACCCAGCCAAGTATCACCCTTCCTGGGAAGTCGACTCCCACTCAATTCCCAGTGGTTTGGGTACTTTTTCTGATCTGCCAAAGCATACTGATCTTGCTTAACGAAGAGCTTATCAGACTATCGTGTACTTGTTCTTGGGTGTGTCTGCTTCTCTCATTAGACTGTGCTTTCTTTAGGCAAACTTGTATCTCATTCATTGTGGTAGTTCTAGATTATTAAATATATTTTGCATTTAATAGACTCTCAATATTACATGGTAGTTGAAATATTATAGGATTTTTGTATTAAATGATTTGTTTATTTTGACTAACTCCTTAAGCAATACATAATGTACTTCAAAGTGAGAGGAAGAGTATCATGTAAGACCTGCAAAGAAGGTGAATGGGAAAAACCAACTGGTTTAGTGACAGTTAATGAATCCACAAATATTTACACGAAAGCATGAAAAAACGAGAAGCTGGAGGTGAGGACAGGCTAGGGTAAGAAAGGCTTTTGCTGAGCTCCATATTTTTCCTACCTTATCTTTGCCATCAAGAGGCACAAGGGGTTGAATTAGACCTCACCTTGTGGTTGTGGAAAGAGACTTAACTCAAAGGAACCATTCAGAGAACTTGATAATATGCACACTCAAGCTGGGTACACACAAAAAACTGAAAAATTAGTCTTCCTGATGCTTTTCCATGCTAGTCAGCAAGTCTATCAAAGACCTGAGTAGACCAATATACTAGGATCACTTTCATAATTGCATTGGGTTAAAAATATTAAATATAGAATGCCAACATTTTTCTTAAAGGTGCTAGTTTTATTTATGCTTTAATGTGTACTAGAGATATACAGAGTCTTGTTCTGATAATTCATGTTTTGTGATCAGATGATTTTGATGCACCAGAAAGAACATACCCTCCTCTCTGTGATAGGGCCTCTCTCTGTCGTCTTGGCTGTTCTGGAACTCCCTCTGTAGACCAGGCTGGCCTCAGACTCATAGAGCTCTGTCTGCCTCTGCCTTCTAGGTACTAGGTACTAAAGTACTAGGTACTTCTAGGTACTTCTAGGAATTAAAGTCACACACAACCACTGCCCGGAAAAAAAACACTTTTATGATTATTCTTCAAAACAAATTCAGTTTACTGTATGTTATAACATTCAAGAAATAGCACCAGAAGTTTCATTATCTAATCCAATTATCACCATCCTTTGAAGGAGTCTCTGCAGGTGTCAGACAGGGAGGCAAACATCAAAAAGAAGTGAGGATGAAACCTGATGCAGATTGACTTCCTCAACCTAGACCAGGCTTCAGGGAGTCTATTGCCAGATACTCTATTACATATTGTATGCACATTTTAAGCCCAATAGAATTTGGAAAAGGATCTCCAGGTAGCACTAATCATTCCAGTTGCAGTTGCACAGTAAAGCTTAATGTGTGACTACATGTAACTTCACAAAGTTCATGTGACCATGAGAATGGGTTTTATAGCAAAAAGGCCTAGGATCTAATGTGGTCTCTGACCAAAAAGGCCTAGGATCTAATGTGGTCTCTGACCAATAGCATAGAGGTCAGCAGCCCATAAAGTACATGCGACATCTCTGCCAAGGAAGGGTAATGGAGGAGTCTGGAATAATCATTCTGGGTATTTAGAGTGAGGTCTGTTCCTACAGAACAAAATACCACCAGGTCATTAACAACCTACACTGTCAGTTTTCTGGATGGAATGCAGGCATTTGATTTTATCTCCTCCATGGAGGAGACACCCCTGCATGATTAACATTCCTGGTTCTCTAAGTGTGTCTCTGCCCTCTACAGTCCTCATTATCAGTTACCATCTATTGCTTCATTCTGGACGTTTGTGAATCTGTTTGGGCTTGTGCTTTACTACTACTCTGCACAGGACTTGCTGGTGCCCCTGAAACACCTGTGGAGCTGCCCATTTCAAAACTCTGCCAATACTTCTTATTTTACCAAAGGCAGTGTGAATCCTCTCCAGAAGGCAAAAGAGTTTGGGTGTTTTAGTTACTACCTATCAGCTTTCTATAGTTCCGAGATGAGAAACAGAATAAGAATAGAAATGAAACGGTCACTGCAGAAAGAATCATAATAATTGAATTAGCATCCGGACACATGAGGGAGCTGACAACAGGCATATAAATTCTGAAAGGTCTGAACTTTATCTCTAAACATGCTAGCTACACTTTAAATTTCATGAGAAAGGAAGGCTATCAAGCATATAAGAACAAAGAATTTGGGGATTATTTCTTAATTGTTGAATGAAACATTGCACAGTATAGATGACATAGGGTAAGTTACTTACCATATATTATTATAACCACAATATCCATTTAAATATTAAATCTATTGCTTGCTTGTACGGAAGTTAATTTTTCTCCAAGAAAAACTTAAAAGAGAGTTTTACAAAACTGTGGGTTAGACATGGTGAGATGGCTCAGGGTTGAAGGTGCTCAGCACCTAGGTGAACACTGAAGGCAAGAGTCAACTTCACAAAATTGTCCTGTTGTTAGGTTTCAAACCCAGGACAACCCGCTAAAGTGCCTACTTAGCATATCAAAGTGGACACTGGCATCCATGTTCTCCCTGTATTCCTCAGCCCTCCTGGATGGCACACCTTGCCTCTACCCTGAGCTCTGCAGCCCAGTTCCCTAATCTAATCCAACCATTTTAGTTACTTGCCTCTTTCATCTACTCTTTTGGGCCTCCCAGCTCCTGTACCTGTTTCCCCTCTCTCCCTATCCCTTCCCTCCTCCTCATATAGCACAGCTCATTCTGATCAGGACCACTCTGGACTCTCTCAGTTGCCCCCAATGTTGAGCATTTCCTTAAGGCATCTTTAAGCCATTTTAGATTAAAATCTAAAATCTAAGCCATTTTAGATTCATCTGTTGAGAGTTCTCTGTTTAGGTCTGTACCCCATTTTTTATTGGATTATTTGTTCTTTTGATGACAAATTTCTTGACTTCTTTGTATATTTTGGAGATCAATCTTCTGTCTGATATGGAATTGGTGAAGATCTTTTCCCATTCTGTAGGCTGCCATTTTGTCTTGTTGACCATGCCCTTTGCTTTACAGTAGCTTCTCAATTTCAGGAGGTCCCATTTATTGCTCTCAGTGTCTGTGCTACTGAGTTAAACTTAGGAAGTAGTCTCCTATGCCAATGTGTTCAAGTATATTTTAAATTTTATTTTCTATGAGGATCAGTGTGGTTGGTTTTATGTTGAGGTCTTTAATCCATTTGAGCTTTGTGCATTGTGTTAGATATAGATCTATTTGCATTCTTCGACATGTTGATATCCAATTATGCCAGCACCATTTGTTGAATATGATTTCTTTTTCCATCTTATATTTTTAGCTTCTTTATCAAAAATCAGGAGTTCATAGACGTGTGGATTGATATCCTGATCATTGGTTCAATTCCATTGGTCCTCCTCTCTGTTTTTATGCCAATACTAGACTGTTTTCATTACTGTAATTTTAGAGTTGAGTTGGAAGTCAAGGATTGTGATGCCTCCAGAAGTTCCTTTGTTGTATAGGATTGTTTTGGCTATCTTGGGGCTTTTGATTTTTCATATGAAGTTGAGTATAGTTCTTTTGAGGTCTGTGAAGAATTTTGCTTGGATTTTGATGGGCATTGCATTTATTCTATAGACTGCTTTTGGTAAAATTGCCATTTTACTATGTTAATTCTACCTACACATGAGCATAGGAGATCTTTCCATTTTCCGGTGTCTTCTTCAATTTGTTTCTTCAAAGTTTTAAAGTTCTTGTCATACAGGTATTTTACTTGTTTGGTTAGAGTTACCCAAAGGTATTTTATGTTATTCATGACTATTGTGAAGGGTGACATTTCTCTGATTTCTTTCTCAGTCCGTTTATCATCTGTATGAAGGAGGGCTACTGATTTTTTTTTGAGTTGAGTTTGCATCCTACTATGTTACTGAAGATGCTTATGAGTTGTAGGAGTTCTCTGGTTGAACTTTTGTGGTCACTTATGTATATTATCATATCATCAGCAAATAGTGAGAGTTTGAGTTCTTATTTTTTGGTTTGTATCCCTTAATCTCCCATTGTTGTATTTATTGCTCTAACTAGAACTTCAAGTACTCTACTGAATAGATATGAAGAGAGTGGATAACCTTGTCTTGTTCCTGATTTCAGTAGAATCTCTTTGAGTTTCTCTCCATTTAGTTTGATGTTGGCTGTTGGCTTGCTGTGTATTCCTTTATTATGTTCCTTATATTCCTGTTTTCTCCAAGACTTTCATTATGAAGGGGTGTTGAATTTTATCAAAAGCTTTCTCAGCATCTAATGAAATGATCGTGTGATTTTTTTTCCTTTTAGTTTGTTTATATGGTGGATTACATTGATATATTTTTGTATGTTGAACCATCCCTGCATCTCTGGGATGAAGCATACCTGTTCATGGTGGATGATTTTCCTGAGATGTTCTTGGATTTGGTTTGCCAGTACTTTATTGAGTATTTTTGCTTCAATGTTCATGTGTGAGATTGGTCTGTAATTCTCTTTCTTAGTAGTATCTTTGTATAATTTGGGTTTAAGGGTAGTCATAGCCTCAAAAAATGAGTTTGGTAATGTTCCTTCTGTTTCTATCATGTTAAACAATTTGTGGTGTATTGGTATTAGTTCTTCTTTGAAAATATTGTAAAATTCTGCACTGAAGCCATCTTGACCTTTTTTTGGTTGGAAGACTTTTGATGACTGTATTTTATTTCCTTGGGAGTTATAGGTCTATTTAATTTGCTTATCTGGTCTTTATTTAATTTTGGTAAGTCATATTTATTCAGAAAATTGTCCATTTCCTTAAGTTTTCCAATTTTGTGGAGTGCAGGTTTTTGAAATATGACCTGATGATTCTCTGAATTTTCTCCATGTCTGTTATGTCATTTGTTTCATTTCTTATTTTGTTAATTTGGATATTCTCTCTCTGCCTTTTGGTTCATTTGGATAAAGGTCTGTCTATTTTGTTAATTTTCTCGAAAAACCAACTCTTTGTCTCATTGATTCTTTGTATTGTTTTCTTTGTTTCTATTTTCTTGATTTCAGCTCTCAATTTGATTATTTCCCATTGTCTAGTCCTACTGAATGAGTTTGCTTCTTCTTGTTTTAGAGCTTTCAGTTGTTCTGTTAACTCGCTAATATGATATGTTTCCAACTTATTTATGTAAGCATTTAGAGCTATGAACTTTCTTCTTAACACTGCTTTCATTGTGTCCCATATATTTGGGTATCTTGTGTGATTATTTTTGTTGAACTTTAGGAAGCCTTTAATTTCTTACTTTATTCTTTCTGACCCATTGGTGGTTGAGGTGACCATTGTTAAATTTCCATGTGTGTGTGGGCTTTTTGCAATTCTCATTGGTGTTGAATTCTAACTTTAAGCCATGGTGATCTGATAAGACACATGGGATTATTCCATTTTTTTATTTGCTGAGATTTGTTTTGTACCACGTATGTGGTCAATTTTTGAGAAGTTTCCATGGGATGTTAAAGAAGATATATTCTTTTATGTTTGGATGAAATGTTCTATAGATATCTGTTAAGTCCATTTGAGTTGTAACAGCTCTAGTTCCTTTATTTCTCTGTTAAGTTTATGCCTGGCTGTCCTGTTCAGTGGTGAGAATGGGACATTGATGTCTCCCACAAATAATGTATGGGATTAATGTGTGATTTAGACTTTCATAGTGCTTCCTTTACATATGAAGGTGCCGTTGTATTTGGGGCATAGATGTCCAGAATTGAGATTTCCTCTTAATGGATTTTTCCTGAGACAGCTATGGAATGTCTTTCCTTGTCTCTTTTGATTGATTTTAATTCGAAGTCTATTTTGTTGGATAGTAGAATAGCTACACTAGCTTGTTTCTTAGGTCCATTTGATTGAAAGATTTTTTTCACAACCTTTGCCACTGACATGATGTCTGTCTTTGATGTTGAGGTGTGTTTTCTGTATGCAACAAAAGTAGAGATTCTATTTTTGTAT